TGCCAGGGGCTAGGGTGAAGTTTCCACCTTAACACAGACACAGACTTCCCCATCCTCTCTCCTTTTCTGAGTGGTTGCATTATGCAATCATATCAATGCCCACGGTGCTAATATCACCCATATGTTATAGAGATTCCTCAGTTTCTGTCTACGTCTCTAACTGTTCCCATGCAAGTGTCTTGTTATTCAAGTGGCCTACTGATGACAAAGTACCCCCTGCTTCTATATATGGACCCTAAATCCTCCCTGTCTACTTTGGTCCTTGCCTTGCCTTACTAACTGCAGCAGTGTTCACCTCAGTGCCAGCCCGACTTCTTCCCCTCTTCAATCCCTATCAGAACAAATACAATTGTTAGAAGTAGGTCGAAAACCAGTCTCTCGAAGAACGACTACCACCGTCCAGGATTGTCTTTGAGCAGTTTCTGTAGTTTTGAGTTTTTGTTTTTTTTTCCCCCAGCATTCTAAGTCCACCTTCCTGTTTTCTGTAGAATATAAGAATCATTACATTCATGACATTTTTTTTCTAATATGGTCTTACTGTGTATCCTGGATTGGTCTTGATTTTCTTTTCTACCTGCAAAATATCTAATCATTATAACACTTCCAATCCCCAAAACTCCTCCTTATTAAACTCTTTGGAAATGTTCTCACTCACAATGTTAATGTCATTCCCCAGAACACCGATTGTAGCTCCAAAATACTGTTTGTATCAATTGGCATTGACATCTATGTTGTCATATTCCTCTGAACAGACATTGACTAACTCTTGGTATTGCTCACGGGGTTGTCACAATAACTTGGTACAGCCCCAAGGCCCTCACAACGTGCATTCTCTCGCACCCTGTAGCTATTTCTCTGCTACATCGCTTACACTGGTTGTAATAGTTACTTGTGTGCTAAGCTATTAAATCTTTGCCTCTCTGGTAAGATGATCACTTCAGCCATTTATATTTACCTATTCATGTCTACCACCTACCATAACACTAGGAGATTAGTATGCACTCAATAAAAAGCACCCTGAGTAAGTAGAGTAGTGAACACCAATGACTTACATGGTAGGGAATCGGTCAGGTGATTATAAAGACAGAAATTCGAGAGAATGCATGTTGTGAGGGCCTTGGGGCTGTACCAAGTTATTGTGACAACCTCGTGAGCAATACCAAGAGTTAGTCACTGTCTGTTCAGAGGAATATGCCAACATAGATGATTGAGTCGCAGTCAACGCTTCTAAAAGACTGGTTGAGAAGAAACACACGTAGCAGACTCACTGAATAAAAGTTTTATATGACATGAAAGAGCTCAGAAATGGAGACATGAAGGCCCTGAACTGTCTATTTTGATGCCTAGATATGATGAATGACAAACAAAGAAATGTGACTGGACCAAATGTATGTGACTTTGTGCTAGCAGAGGAGATAACACCGCAAAGCCTGTGTTGTGGTTCTTCTTTGTTTTCCTGGGAACCAAGCAGGACTGCTAGAATGAGACCCTTAGTTTACTGTCAGGTGAGGTGGTTCAGAGAACTTTTTATAGCCAATGATTAGTCAGCTTTGCATTGCTACCAAAAAAACACCTGAGGCAGCAAATTTTTATTGTGGTGATACATTATTTATGATTTAATAAAGACTGCCTGAAGGATCAGAATGCAAAGCCACACTAGTTAGCCATAGAACTAACTGGGCAGTGGTGGCACACACCTTTTATCCCAGGACTCAGGAGACAGAGGCAGATGGATCTCTGTGAGTTTAAGACTGAATCAGTCTAAAAGAGAAACAGCTCACAGCTTTAATACCATCACCAGAAAATAGATAAGGAGCTCAGTGCAGTCTCAGAGGGCAGTCTAGGATTCTGAGGCTTGGTGGAGAGCAGTGCAGTCTGGAGATGCTATCTGATGTTCAGTAGATCGCCCCTTCTGTCTGAGCACTTATACAGTTGAGAACTCTCTAGCCCCCGGTTGCTTTGCTTCTCTGATCTTCAGTTTGAACCCTAAAATCTGTCTCTGGGTTTTTATTAGTTGAACCACATTTTATAAAGAGAAGGGTTATTTAGTGCTCAAGAGTCTCAAAGTCCATTGGTTTGACTGGTGGTAACATCTTTGGACACTCAGCATAACAAGGCTGAGGTGCTTGTGTGTGGAAGATCTTAGATTTCCAAACAGGAAATCAAAGAGAGAAACTGATATTTCACAATGCCTTCTGAGGGGCGTCTTCAAAACGTTAAGACCTCCCACTGGGCCTTACCCAGCAAAGGTCTGCCATCTCCCAGCAGCACCTTCTTGTGGACCAAGCGTTCATTATAATGAACCCTTGGATGACTGTGCACATTCAAACCAAAGGAGCCAGCTCAGAAGGACCATCTCCAGCTTCAGGACTGCCTTTGGGGATGAGGAGCTCTCATTTCTATGACACCTCTCAAGAGACAGGAACCCTGAGATGTTATGGCCCTCCTTGATGAGAAAAGGGAGCAAGAAAATGGAAGACAGCATCTGCGGGCCTGTGGTGTCCGGAGCTGTCATTAGGCACAGGTTCCTGAGACTCAATGTGACCACGTGTATCTGACTTTGTTCTTTTTCTTGTACATCCTCAGGTTCAACAGGACCCACCGAGAATACAAGCATGTGGGGTATTGGCCTTTCCCGTGCTTATTTTAGGCATCACAAATATTTTGTTAACTGAAAGTAAGAAGTTTGCCTTTACCCCCTGATATTTTGATGTAGTATAAAAGGCCGTTACCTCAAGGATATATTCCTGTTGGAAATACCTCCCTACCTCCCTCTTCTTTCCTTATCCCTTCCTTATTTCTTCCCACCTTCTCTTCCTTTCTCCACTTCTTCCTTCCTTCCTTCCTTCCTTTCTTCCTTCTATCTTTATTTCTTTCTTAGTATTTGATTCATTATGCCTTTACCTACAGAAAATGGACCCCTATTTATAAATGGCTGCTTCTACAATGTGTGATGGCTATGGCTTTGTATTTATTTCCATTAAAGTATCATATTTAATGAACATAGCTCTTTATTTAATGTTATGCTTTGGTACATATGTATATTATATGATTATTCAATCAAGATAATGAACTTTATCATTTCTCTGGTTGAATAATACCACATTGTATGTCAATATGTAAGTAGGTAGACAGACTAACGTTATGTTTTCAATCTAAACATGCATCCATGGATTTTTTTGGTTGATTCCATGTCTTGACTGCTGTAAAAAGTGCTGTAATAAATATGAGGTATAAGTATCTCTTTCACATAAGCACTTCATTTCCCTTGGATATATGCCCAGGATTAGTGTTTCTGGATTATGTAATGATTCCATTTTCATATTTTTAAGATAATTGAAGAATATTTTCCATAATGAGGTTGTAATGTGCATTTACCTCTAATAGTGGTAGGATTGCCTCATTCCTCCACATCTTTGGCTGGTATCTGTTATTTGACAGTAGTGACTGGAGCAGATATCTAACGGTGGTTTTCTTTTATTAGTAGTGTGTGTGTAGATGTTTTGTCTGCATACATGTCTGTGCAGTACATGAGTGTCCAGTACCTTCAGAGGTCAGAAGAGGGAAGAGGGCATTGGATCTTCTGATTGTCGTGAGCCTCCATGTGGGTGCTGGGAATCAAACCAAGTTCTCTGGAAGAGCATCCAGTGATCTTAACCACGGAGTCATCTCTCCAGTCCCCTCATTGTGGTTTTAACTTCCATTTTCATAGTATTAGTGATTTGGGGCATTTCCATGTTCTTATCCATGATTTAAACTTGAGAAGGTCATTCAGGTAATTGGCCCATATTAAAATAAGATTGTCATTTTTACTATTCAATAAAGTCCCCGATATATTTTGAATATCAACTCCCCATCAGATAAATAGGTTTCTACAAGAGTAAAGCCAACTTCTACCTTTCCTGTCTGTTTTAGAATTCTTCAGTGCACACGAACTCACTTTTTCACTATTTGAAGTAAAAGGAATCTTTAAATAAAAAAAAAAAAAGTGTCACAGAAAATAGGAGACTTGCCATACCAGAGACTTCACTGGAAAGTTTACCAGATTCAGCTGGATATTGTGGCTCTTACCAGTAATTTCAGCCCTGAGAGGATCTCCGTGCGTTCAAGGCTAACCTGTACTACACAGGGAGTTCCAGGCTATCAGCACGTAAGACCCTGTCATTATCTTCATCATCCATCATCATCACCATCATCACCACCATCATTACCATCACCATCATAATGATGATGATAAAAGGTTGGTCTCAGCATTTCACTGTCGTGGGCCATCCACTTAGAATTATACTGTGGTATTTTTTTGTTGATGTTTAGTTTTTGTCAGTAATGCCTGTGTTTTTACATTTTCTCTAAATTTTTCATGATGTCAGAAGAGACATTGAAAATGGTATATAAACCTTACTAAGAAAGCCATGCTAAATGTTGACCACAAACCAACATTTTAAGGTTGAATTCTACATTATAAGATTATGAAGGAATATCTTAACACACTCAGTTATCCATAAAATGAGTCTGTGTTGAGATGTGTGATCCCTGAACACATTTTCCTTTTGAGAATCAGTACTGAGACAGTGTTTTGTAGAGATACTTTCTTCTAAGTGTTAGTTACTCCCTCGGTTATGCTGCGCCAGCCCCATGTGGACTATTCAAACAGTATGAATTCCAGGGTGTCACACAACTGCTTTCTTTGTTTTTTTCTCTTCTTCCTGTCTAACTTGCACTGCTGACTCTAGCAGGCCAGCATCCAGCAAACTTTTTAGCAGGAAGTTGCACCTAAACCGGATACCCCCTGGCGAGGTAACAGGAGAGGCTATGTGTAGTGATCAGTCTCCTGATCCTTGCTCCAAAAGGTAATTGATCTCCTACTTTGTGAGACTATAAAAGCAACCACGGCCTGAGAACCACAGAAAGGAAAGAAAGCGGAGACCTAGGCAGCTGACTTCTGGTGTGAGGAGGAGAGAATGCTTCTTCTAAAGATACCCGGCGGGCGCTGGGACAAAATGGTGCCCACTGTTTTGCTCAGTGCTCTTCTGCTTCATCTCACTGATGCTGTGGCTTCAGAACCGTAAGGGAACTCTAAACTCTCTGTATCAAAGTGCTGGCCATGCCATCTCATTAAATGCATCCCATGGTAAAGTCTGGTTGGTTCGTTACTCTGTTTCAACTTCAGCAAGTGAGAGCGGGTTTGCTCTCTAAGTGTTGAGCAAATACCAGGAGAGTGGGATGCCCTTAAGACATCACAGTGAGCAGCCTGCAGTTTACCGTAACCCAGCCTGTGAAACGTGTGCAGTTTGGGAAGTCCTTCAATAGCTCGAGTTGCTGACAGAGTGCTGGCTGTTCTCTTTGTGCAGGCGATACATCCTGTGGGTTTCCTCCGTGGTCCAGCGCTTTTCCCCGGAAAAAGCCTGTCTTCATCTTTCAAACCTCAGCGAGTCTGTGTCCTTGAGCGTCATCCTAGAATATGATGGATCCAATACTACTATTTTTGACCAGTCTGTGGAAGCAGGGGACTTCTATGCTTGCAACAATTTCAAAGTGAGGAACCAAACGTAACACAGCAGGAGCGCGAGTGGGGATGTGAACCTACTCTCTTACAGTTGCTTTTCAATAACAAAGCTTAATTTGGATCGATTTGCAAAATCTGGAGGGGGGGATATGTGAAAATTTCAAGAGAAGCAAAAAACAAAATGAAAAATTTTAATGTGCAGCATGTATTGTTGCTGCTGTTGACAGTTTTCTATTACAGGAATGATGGGGCAATTGCTATTTTAGAGTGAATGTGTTTCACGGGTCTAAAAGGGAAATGCAGGTAAAGGATGGAGGGCTTTGATTCAGGACGACATAAAAAGAAAATAGGCAGCAAGAAGATAGCAACCTGGATTTATTAAAAAAAAAAAAAAAAAAAAAAAGACCCTTATACCGAGTTAAGCAATTTCAGCAGGTGACCAGTGAGTCTTCTGTTTGGGAGTAAAAGTTTACATGGCTTTGCCTGTCTGTCCATCTAAATTAATGCACACAACCTTCCCTTCTCTGCTCCTCCACACAAACAGGTGTCTCAGACATCCTCGGAGCCGTTGGCCTTTGTGACATTACTTGCTCAGGGAAACACTCTTAAAATCTCTGAAAGGAGAGCTGTAGCAATCGCCGCAGAGGAGAACACAACTTTTGTGCAGACAGATTCACCCATCTACAAACCTGGAGACACCGGTAATCCACTTTAAAAACATGCTCTCCAAATGAACATGTGAAGTTTAGTAAAGCTTGTCTTTAATGTCATCGACTGCTATATTCCCATCGTCCCTCAGATCAGAAACTGATGTTCCTAAGACTCGCTCCGTTGCATACAAATCCTACCGACAAGGCTTCATGGTACAGTGGTTCCCAGCACAGAATGGGCTGTGTCATTGTTTGATCTAAACCACTGATCTGTAACATGCCTATTTGACAAGTTCATTAGTTCTCTTTTTTGAGCCAATTATTTCATCCTCAGATGGTGAAGTTTCTTGGGACTTTCAGGGAAGAGATGAGAGTCTCACTGTACAAATAGTGCCAACCACAACAAAGATCTCACCGGCCACATCTACGGATTCTATTGCTCTATTTTTATGTTCATGGACATAACACGTGAAAATCAGACAGGGCCTTTCTGCTTTCTTTACTGGTGTTCTGAGCAGATTGTGGAAGACAGAATGCCCAGCTATAATTCAAAGCAGCTTGCTTCAAATATTGGCTCTGTTAACCAATGATTGACTTTTGACGAGTAAATCCTGGTCTTTGAGATTTAATTTCTTCATTTGTAAAATTAGGGGTTTAGAGATGGAACTGACTGTGCATTCTGTCCTGGTTAATATTGCTTATTTCTATGATTATTTTTAAGGAGCTGAAAATAGACTTTATTTTGTCTTAAACAACAGACATTTATTCCTGTCGGTTGTAGAACCTGCTGGTGTGATGTGCCGGGGGTTGTTTCCTCCGAGAGTTCTCTACTGTACTCTGACTGATATGACAGTGTCTGAGGCAGGGGAATTCCTCCAAGAATTCTCTATTGTACTTTGAATGGCCAGTTCATGTAGTCTTCTTTTGCTTTTATAATTAGTTTTAAGTCAGCACACAAGACAGTAAATTTCATTATGACATTTTCACATGTAACATGGCAAAGATAATTCTTAAAGAGAGATCTTCACTTCCTGATATCCCCTTTGCTTCTCTTACTAAAATATTAGAGTGAGTGGTACATTCAAAAGAGCCAACATCTTTCATTTGTAGTTCTGTTAAAATAACTTAATTTCATTGGCATCATTTTCAAGGAAAATAAATGTTTTACAGTTGTGCTTCTACAGATTAATTCTGTCACTAATTATGTTCCAAGATGTCCCAGTCATACATTTTATGAACAATAGGGTAAAGGTTTCTAACAGTAGCTGGTGTCAGTACTGGGGACAATAAGAATCATTAACAAAGGGACAATAAATATAATAAGAGACTTTCCCCCAATGGACTCCTAACCTCAAAGGGTCAAATGAGAGCTAGAGGGAAGGGAATGAGGTATTGTGTGATGATAAAGCAATTAATTATGTATATACTTAAAAGCAATCATAGCTAGAAGGTGGGAATTACAAGAAAAACACTTAATGGCCTTGCCCTCTGTTCTTTTAGTCAATTTTCGAATTGTGACCCTGAACACCTGGCTCAAACCCGTTGATGACTTGGTGAGTCCATAATTTCTAATGGTACAATGAAACTAAAATTTATCAATCAAATCCGTTGCTATATAGAGCATCTTTCGGGAATGTAAGTCAGCATACATCTGTGCTTGTCCCAACAGCCAAGGTATGGGACCAGCCTAGATGTCCATCAGCAGACGGATGGATAAAGCAGGTGCGGTGTGTGTACAGGATGGAATTATGTCATTTGCAGAAAAATGAGTGGAACTAGAGTTCGTTGTGTTAGGTCAAATTAACCAGACTCCAAGGATAAATATTAGATTTTCTTTCATAAGCAGAATTATATCCAAACACACACACACACACACACACACACACACACAGAGCGAGAGAGAGAGAGAGAGAGAGAGAGAGAGAGAGAGGGGACATCAAAGTTAACAGAACACCATGAAGGTAGAGTTCTAAAGGGAAAAGGGACGGAAGAAGGTAGTGGGAGAGAGAAAGAGAAAATACCATGATTTCTGTCATATGGAGACTAGACTTAGCTATATATTTACACACACACACACACACACACACACACACACACACACACACACACAGGCAAAGGAGGATATAGGGGCAGACAGGAGAGGGTGATATGAAATGAACCCAAACAAGATACAGTGATATATATTTGTGAAAATATCGTAACAAAGCCCATTATCTTATACACTCACTAAAAGAATTAATTAAAAACTAAACCTTCGGGGCAATACTATTTGACAAAAGAATGTCTCACTAAAGTATTAATCTGTGTTTTTTTTCTTTCAGTACCCTTTAATCACCCTTCAGGTAAGACATCTACTTTGCATACCCAATTTTAAAACATTCAGATTAGGAATGGCATGCTTCCAGTTTTTAGTTTTATATAACTAAAAATTAAGATGATTGAAACAAATGGCTAAAAGTAGGTTTAAAATACAATTTTGAAAAACTCGGAAGATACCTAGGAGGACTGATTCCTTGTCCATGAATGCCCTAGAATAATGTGCTGGGGATTTGAAAACATAAACTTATTATTTTTCCCACTCTGTGTTATAATTCTAAATACCATCGTTGATGAATAAACATATCTTGTTGATTTTTATTAGGTGTCTTGCACTTGTCATGTAGTTGGTTGTGCTTCCAGCTTGCTTGTAAACAGCAATCAAACCCTATATTCTTTTCTCTGCATACAGTATGTGCTGCCACCATTAGTTAACTCTGGAGGCTAATATGGAATCTAGGCTCATAATTCACAGTTATGTGGGCAAACACAGATGCTCACAAACTTCCAACTGACCTGTCTGATATTTGGATGCATTAAGCTCTTCATATGGGTAACACCCTTAAAGTGACATGAATTCCGGGTTAGCCAGTCTTGTGGTCTCTTCATTAGTCAACAGTTTGCTTCCACATCTCATCCAGCTACTGCTGCATTCTGCTGAGAGAAACTCAAAGACTGGTTAACATTGGCTTAGATGAGTAAAAGCTCACCATTCAAAAGTCACAACAAGTCAGTGTGGGCACTCAGAGGAGCACCAGTTTTACCAAGTATGGTGTTTTAGCCTTAGTGCCCATGACATCTGGTTCTTTTGGAAATAATTTATTCAGCTGTGTGTTGTCCACTCACATTTAAACCAGCATGGGGTCTCCTGGGCATCACTGAAGGGAAAAAGGTCTAGGATGTTCTAAACTTTAAAGTAGAGGAAAACAAATCATTAAAAATCTTTGAGATAGTGACAGTTTTGTTTCTTTTTTTTTTTCAACTTTTTTTTTTTTTGAAGTAGAAACAGGATTTGTTTTAGATGACGATCCCAGTTCCCTTCTCCCTCCCCTCCTCACCTACCACCCCCACCCCCAACTAAACCCCTACCTATCACATACCCTTTCTGCTCCCCCTGGATGGTGAGGCCTTCCATAGGGTGTCATCAGAGTCTATCGTATCCTTTGGGATAGGGCTTAGGCCCACCCCCGTGTGTCTTGCAGTTTTGTTTCTTTACATAATCTGTTAAACACTTTAAATCACTTTAAAGAAATCTTTTAAACATGATCTCTTTAATCAGAGTTGGAAAATGTAAAATATTTATGGAAGTAAACGTGTGTGTGGCTATGTGCTGAAATCAAATGAAGGAGATTGCATTCTGACAACTGACTCTGCTTTTTAAATCACAGAAATTCCATGTAGTTCTTTATCTTTCTTTTTTATTGATCTATACATTTTTCTCACTCCCCTTCCCTCCCTACCCCCACTCTTCCAATTTACTCAGGAGGTTGTGTCTTTTCCCCCTTCATAGGTGGATCCATATATGTCTTTTTTAGGGTCTTCTTTGTTACCTAGGTTCTCTGGGGTTGTGGTATAAAGGCTGGTTGTCATTTGCTTTATGTCTAATATCTACTTATTAGTGAGTACATATTGTATTTGTCTTTCTGGATCTGAATTACCTCACTCAGGATGACTTTTTCTAGTTCTGTCCATTTGCCTTCGAATTTCAAAATTCCATTGTTTTTTACTGCTGAGTAGTACAAATGTACACATTTTCCTTATCTGTTTTTCGGTTGAGGGGCATCTAGGTTGTTTCCAAATTCTGGCTATTATGAATAATGTTGCTATGAACATAGTTGAGCAAATGTCCTTGTGGTGTGAGTGTGCATCCTTTGGGTATATGCAAAAAAGTGGTATCGCTGCGTCTTGAGGTAGATTGATTCCCAGTTTTCTGAGAAACCACCATACTTATTTCTGAAGTGTGGTTGTACAAGTTTGCACTCCCGCCAGCAATGGAGGAATGTTCCTCTCAGTCCACATCCTCTCCAGCATCAGCTGTCATCAGTGTTTTCCATCTTAGCCGTTCTGACAGGTGTAAGATGGAATGTCAGAGTTGTTTTGATTTGCATTTCTCTCATGACAAAGGATACTGAGCATTTCTTTAAGGGTCTTTTGGCCATTTGAGAGTCCTCTGTTGAAAGTTCTCTTTTTAGATCTGCGCCCCATTTTTTTTTATTGGATTATTTGGTCTTTTGATGTCTACTTTCTTGAGTTCTTTGTATATTTTGGAGATCAGTCTTCTGTCCGATGTGGAGTTGGTGAAGATCTTTTCCCATTCTGTAAGCTGCTGTTTTGTCTTGTTGACTGTGTCCTTTGATTTACAGGAGCTTCTCAGTTTCAAGAGGTCCCATATATTCATTGTTGCTCTTGGTGTTTGTGCTACTAGTGTTGTATTTTGGAAGTGGTCTGCCGTGCCAGTGTGTTCAAGGGTACTTCCCACTTTCTCTTCTATCACATTCAATGTTGCTAGATTTATATTGAGGTCTTTGATACACTTGGGCTTGAGTTTTGTGCATGGCGAAAGATATGGATCTATTAGCATTCTTCTACGTGTCGACATCCAGTTATGCCAGCACTATTTGTTGAAGATTATTTCTCTTTTCCATTTTATAATTTTATCTTCTTTGTCAAAAATCCGGTGTTTATAGGTGTATGGATTGATATCTGGGTCTTCAATTCGATTCCATTGATCCACCTGCCTGTTTTTATACCAGTACCAAGCTGTTTTCATTACTGTAGCTCTATAGTAGAGTTTGAGGTCAGGTATAGGATTGTTTTGGCTATCCTGGGTTTTTTGTTTTTCCATATGATCTATGTGGTTGTAATGGGATAATCCATGACCAACTTAGAAACCAGATGGAAATCTGAGACAAAAATCATTTTAATCTTTATTTTTAACTAATTAAAAATAATAATTTTTTAATCAAAGTAACTAAAATTGATGGTTAATAAATTAATAGTTAATAGTGTTTTGATTTAACATACATGAGTACTCTGATGCGTTTGCACAACATGTATGCAATACTTGCGGAGCCCAGAAAATGGCGTCAGATTTCCCCTGGAACTGGAGCTACAGATGGTTGTGAGCCACTATGAAGGTGCTGAGAACAGAACCTAGTCTTTTAGAAGAGCAACCAGCGCTCTTAACCACTGAGCCATTTCTCCAGCCCCTGGGACAATCATTTTAAATGTTAGGGTTAGTTTCCCCTTATATAATTGATTATGAGTCCGTTCTGCTTTGGGAGCACTATTCTGAATTAAGTATGCTGAATTTTTAATTATTTGATTATACTACTCTGCTTTGGAAAGATAAAAATCAAAAGTGTCAGTTATAAATTTTTTTGTATGAATTTTAGTTTTAAGAGAAAGTAGATTGAATATGTTGGAGTAGTTACACTGTACCAGGAATTTGAGGTCATTAGTTAAGCCTCATAGTAGTTCACTCTTTACTTCCAGTAACTATGGAGAGCACTCATAATAAGGAAAGTGTCATTTTCATGCGCAACCTCTGATTGTCCTTTTTTACTGTTTTTAAGGATCCTGAACACAATGTGATTTTTCAGTGGAAAAACGTGACCACTTTGAGAAACATTACCCAGCTCTCATTCCATCTGACTCCAGAACCAATGTTTGGTGATTACACAATTGTCATAAGAAAACAATCAGGAATGACAGTGGTGCATCTGTTCAGTGTTAATCGAGATGGTAACCAAGAACTGTTTTTGATTCTCCTACAGACAAGTTCAAGGCAACAGAACAAAGCTTTCTAGACCCAGGCAAAAGCAGCTGAAGCCAGGCTGGGTCTCTGCTGTCTGCTTTTCTGTGGCATCCTGGGTCCTCTCTTTGCCTCGTTCTGGACCCAGGTCTTCCTCTGATCCATGCCCGCCCCTCCCTCAGTTAAGAGATATCTCATTTCCTGAAATCCTGATAACTCTCCTAGAGAGGATCTAATAGCTACAACATTAAAAAAAAAAAAAAGGTGAATTTTTGAGGCTAGACAAAAGAAATAAAAATAGACAAACCACCACCACCAAAAGCAAGCAAACAAACAAACCACAGAATAATTGATCTTTAATGATGGACCATCACAGACCGGGGTACACCGAGGGGCATTTGGAGGAAAATGGCATGCATAGAAACAGTTTGTTCTAGTTGCAGTAGCTTTGCTCTCCGGGGATTGTCAGCTGAAGTGTGTTTCTTTGTTTTCAGTATTGCCCAAATTTGAAGTTGAGGTCAGTGCACCAGAGACAATAACTATTGCAGACAATCAATTTCAAGTGGTTGCATGTGCAAAGTAAGTACATACTTAGATTTATCCCCATGGGGTAAATTAAGTTTAATCATAAAATGTTATTTGTATACCTACATTAAAATTATTGTAGAAAATTTTAAGTGTTTGAAAAATATAAAGAAAAGCATAAAAACAAGCTACAGTATGTTCTACCAATTGCCATCTCATAACTGATTTCCCTATAACTCTTTGTGAAAAAATTTCCCCTAGTTATATTTATTCTTTTCTTTCCATTTAATCTAATATTTAAAAAACACACAGCTCCATATGTTGCTTAGTCTTTCTACCTATTCCAGTTCCTTGCCTGGCAATCATATCTTCATATACAAATAACAATTTTACTTAATTATTGTTGTACCATATAACATGTAATCTATTACATTGTGTTTTCTAGTAATTAATACATTGGTGGTAGATATCTTCTGAAAAACTGTATTATAGCCTGATTTAGAATTGAAAATTGTTTACTTAAAAAAGACTTCTCTAACGGTAATTACCAAGTCAAAACGTAGAATGTTCTTTTAGTTTTACAAATGTCATGTCGCTCACCTAACTCCAGCAACCGGTGTGAAAGTACTGGCTTCCCTGAACCTTTACCGTGTTCTCATTTTTAAAAAGGAAGGGAGGAAGAGAAGAGGGGAGGGAGGGAGGGAGGGAGGGAGGAAGGAAGGAAGGAAGGAAGGAAGGAAGGAAGGAAGGAAGGAAGGAAAATGAGCTAACAAAATTTCATAGAAATAAGGAAGTTTATAATTTAGTTTGAATTTATTTGAGTTCCCTAACATAAAAACATCGTATCTGCTCTTGGGAACGTTTATCCTCTGTTTGGGAAATAATTTCTGATGCCCTTTATCCTTTGTGATATCTTTTTTCAAATTTCTAACAATAATGTAAAATAGCTAGTGCTTATTAGGTGCCAGCCACAAAAATTGTTCCCACAGTGTCATGAGATAAGCATTGGGATAACATCAGCTTTGGGAGTGTTCTGATGACCCATAGCTACACCTGGGCAGTTTGGCTTCACAGTTATTCTGTCAATAACTGTGCCATCCTATGAAGAAACGCCTGGTGAGAGCTGCTGGATGCTCTAAGAGGTGACATAAAAACCTTTGGATAATCTTGTATATATTGAAGCTGCAGTCTAGAAAGGGCTGCCTGGTCAGCACATGATGGGGTGTTGGCCTTCTCCCCAGAGAATCTTGGACTCTGTCTCTTTTGGAGAAAGACCAGGTCGTTTCTTTGAGTTTCAGGGCAGAGTAGCTGGATGTGTTCCAAAAAGCTCATTTTCCAATCCTTCTGCCAGACTAAATATATATACATTTATTACTCATGAAGTTTTTCTTTCCTGATATTTTAGGTCATCTAAAACTGAATGTCACTGTGAATTTGTTTTTGTTTGTTTGTTTGTTTGTTTGTTTGTTTTGAAAAACAGGCAGGTCCTCTTCATAAGTCAGTTTCACCTAAATTCTGCGGAGGAAATACCCTCAAAAGTGGTTAGACGGGAAGCACTCGGTTTCAGGACATCGTATCGATTTCTGATGAAGTCCATACATGTCACTATGGTACTGCCCACTTCTGATCATGGATGCACCTTTTCCCACTAGGTACACCTATGGCCAGTCTGTGCAGGGAAAAGTCCAGATCCGAGTGTGCAGAGAGTTTTCCTCCTCTGGGTATTGTGAGAGCAATAGCAACAATGAAATATGCGAGCAGTTCACCGAGCAGGTACGGATCACGGGCTTGCTCCAGAGGGATATTCTCACTCACTTCTCATAGTGATTTTATTCCTCTTGCAAAAGGGGATTCACAGTGCTTTCGCTGTGTAGCCAGCGGAGATAGTGGAGATAATGCAATGTTTAAAACAGTGCCTTGACTTCTAGGTGCTTTTGCCATAGGCTCTTAGAGCTACAGAGGACCTCATTGGCCTCCCTATGTCCTGTACTAGCTGGATGGAGAACCCTTTTTCGGGCAGTTCATTTGGAAACAACTGCAACCCAGAGTGTTCTGTGTGCATTGTTCTAGACTTCTGTTCTCCTCCATTCTAAATCCTGCTTATGACAGCCTCACCTGTTCTGCCGGGTTTGTCATTATTAATATATTTTTGTGCATGTCTATAAGTCATTGATCTTAATTCCCATCTTTTTAATTCCTTCTTAAGATTTATTTTTTATTCATGTGCATGTGTACGTCTACATGATGGGTGTAACAGTTCTGCCTAGACCAAGTTTTGAGGAGCAAACAAATTAGTGTAGCCTTCCAATGTCTAAATTTTGAAGTTAGAATGTATTTCTTATTTTAAAAATATAATGACTAAAATTGCAGTTTTCTAATTAATGTTGTTAGCAGTGAAAAGGTTTCTTTCCTCTATTTCAAAATAGTAGATCTTAACGGGTGCTACTGTCCTTCATTTAAGGGGTTTTGGTTCATCTGTTGTTAGTGTTTCTTCCAAGGGGGGTTCTTATTCTTAGGTTATCGTAGGCTTTATTCTCATTCTTTAACTGTTTCAGGCCCACGTTACTTCAGGAAAATGTCCTGGAATCCCTTTTCTTGTATTTCTTCTCTCACTTCATCTTCCTGCTTTAACTCTTTCTTTATTGGTCCAGTAACTTAGTGAAGGAGACCTGGGTACACAGGGTGGGATGTGCCTGTGCTAAAATTCAGATCCCTAACTTTTTCATCACACCTGTTCATTTTTCAGCTGAAAGATGGCTGTATTTCTCAAGCTGTCAATACAAAAGTCTTCCAACTATACCGCTCTGGATTATTCATGACATTTAATGTTAATGTAATGGTTACAGAGTTTGGAACAGGTAATGATAGTATTTTATAGACAGCTTGGGAATGCATGGTGGCCCACCTAGGAAAAAAATCATTTTAAATTTAATTTAATCATTAGCAACATCATTTGTTAATCATGAATTAATTGTTGCTCAGAGGGGTAAAAAGAAGCATCTTTTAAAGGTGGCTCTTGCGGGGAATGGAAGTATTGAATCCATGTCCTCACACAGGCTTAGGCAGCCAACATTTTACCACTGAGATACATGGCCCACCCTGGTGGGTTTTGTTCAAATGATTAATTCCTTTCTGATGCTATTTCATCATTTCTTACAGGTGTGCAGATCAGTAAAACACACCCTGTGTTTATCACTTCGGTGCTTGGCAGCGTGATCTTTGAGAACATGGACTCTTTCTACAGGAGAGGGATCACTTATTCTGGAACAGTAGGTTTGCCTAGACTTTCAGGAGGACCTTGTTTGGTTTCCTTTGTTCACAGATTATCACTTGGAGTTTTCTAGACGCTCTTTCCTAGGTCCATGATCCACTTTGGATATTACTAGGTCTGATACGTTTGGAAAGTTCTAGTGTATAAAATGATAGTCTCTCCTGTTTTATCTGTAAGCACAAGTAGTAGGTTGGATATTTCCATTCACTGAAGTTTCTGTTAAGTGGCCACTATCACGGACTGAAATTCCCTGTAGGAATGTGCAGTTTTGTATCTTAAAGAGTGTTAACATTTCTGCTTTTGTGCAGCTTAGGTTTTCTGGTTCCAATAATGCACCGATGGTGAGGAAGCTTTTGCAACTGGAGCTCAATGGCAAATTTCTAGGCAATTATACAACAGATGAGAACGGGGAAGCTCAATTCTCCATCGACACTTCAGAGATTTTCGATGCACAGATCAGCCTGAAAGTAAGATATCCCAGGGTGGGCGGAGTGTGAGGAATCCCACAGAGGCCCAATGCTGGGGACTGGGAGCATGAGAAGGTTCTTAGATGGTAGCATATTTTCTGTGACTTGCTTGTCTATCCAGTACTCAGTAAGAGCAGACAGAGATCAGACAGTGAGATGCTGGTACTCTCTTACAGTGACTCTCTATCATGACCAATATTTCTGCTGTGGAAGTAGAAGTAGCATGTGAGAAAATCTGACCTTTTCCCTTACATAATGCTGTGTAAAGATAGAGAGATGCTGTAAGATCTCCTTTCTAAAGCTTCCATGGAAATTTGCAATTAAACAGTTTGTCATGACTCATACACAGGTGGCGGATATAGAACTTACATCCAATTCTCTGACTGTAATCAAAAGCCAAAAGCTGGAACATGGTAGTGATGCCTGTAATTCTAGAACCCAAGATGCTGGGACAGGAGGATCTTGAGTTGCAGGCCACACGAGGTTACATAGTCAACCATCACCTAACCCCCAGCACACACCCACACAAAGTAAAGAACATAAAAGTTCACTGTTGATCCAATTAGACAATCGCAAAACCATGTCATTCATATATATATATATATAGATATATATATATATATATATATATATATAT